TACAGAAGCATTTGGTGCACTCCCAAATCTCACAACTTGGTCTAAATTTTTGTTCTTTCCATAGCAAAGCAAGAGCTTGCAACTTTGAATTTATGACAAGAAGCTTCTACTCTTAGTATAAGAATGATTTGAATGAATAGATACCTCCTTGATCTGTGTAAAATGAGATTGGCCTCATTAAAGACAGAGTAGGCATGCAGGTAACAGTGTCATTAATCCCATCAGCCAGGAGAAATTAATTTCTGGATACTGTATTACTCAATTTAGTTGTTTGTTACAAAAGAAGACAAATTTAGTGATGAGCCAGGACAGATTTTCTGTGTCCTCTAAATGGAGCAGATTTTGTGTGTTCTTTAAATGTTCTTTGATCATTCCAGTATAGGTATTGTACTATTAAAAAAAAAACCAAAAAAAAAAACAACAACAAACCAAAAAAACCCCCAGGTTTGTTACTAAATGGCAAGGTTTATTTTGAGAATGCAATTAATATGTAATATCTTGGAAGATGAACAGCTATAGTAAATACAGAATAAATGCTCAAGCACCATAGCTCTTCCATTCCTGTATTTGTTTTACAAGACACACAGCACTAAACTGCATAACTTCCATAAAAGGTGCTATAACTAATTTAGAAAGACAATGCCTCAACAAATTAGTATTTCAGATCGACATATGTGTACATGCATGATCATAAGAATTCAAAACAGGGGCCCAGAGATCCCTGTAACATGAAGTGCTCTTGATCCCCTTCAGCTGTGCTTTGAACTACAAGCAGTACCTGTTTTGTCATGCTGCTCTATGCTCAGGTCCTCTGCCTCAGCTCCATAACAGAGGTCACTAATTTTATCTATCACTTGTGTGAGCGTTAGTAAGCCTTGTCAGCTCATTTACATCAGTAGACACTAATACAATAGGCAATGAACATATTGATTTCACTAAGATCCCTGGGCAGCCGCCAGTTACGAACAGATCTCAGTTGAGTTTGAAAACAGCAATGCTCTTGATTGCAAAATTACTTTTTTCCTGCTGCTGCCCTCCCCTCTGATCAATACGTCATTCTGATTCACATACACATCTTCCTCAGGAGTCTTTGAACCAACTAAGTACAACTGCAAGCTCAAAGAAAATGTTGGCATTTATTTTTTATGTTGCAAACTAATTCTACATATCCCCTCTCTTGGGATTCACAGAAAAGTCAGCTCTTGTTGAAAGGTCCTATAAAACTGAGGTAAGTACAAGATAGAAAGGTAGCCCTAGAAGAAATGACAGAGGATGAAACTCATTGCATGTAGCGCCATAAGAACACATGAGAATTTGTTTAAACAAGACAGAGGTGAGTTTCCTAGCAGCCAGGAATTTAATGCTAAAAATCTATCAGAACTAATGTGTGTGTCATGACTTTTACACTCAGCAGTTAGAGTATAAATCAGCTCCATTTCACTGTAACTGCTCCAAAATCAAATGTTTACTACGGATATACACATAGAATGATATAGCCAAAAAAAATATTCCTAACGTGACCAAGGCTAGACTAAGGAGAGGCAACTATCAATTTTTTTGAGATTAGCCTCATAAATTGTCTTCCAGTTCTGTCACTAAACGTTTGAATTTCATATATATTAGCATCATTTAAATACATGGTGGCTTTTGCCCATCTGTACAATGAAATTTCTGGATAAGGCTCTAACATCTCATCTCCCATCTTCCAAGAGGAAGGAGTGGGGGACAGCAAAACATCACTAATGCTTAAGCTTCCTGGAGCCAGCTAGAATAATAATTTCTACCCTCCTTCAACCACACATAATATAGTCTTTATTCAGCAAATAGGAAAGTCGTTTCACACCATGCCAAAGGTCAGCTTTTGCTGTATTAATAGCAGCTCTGGGAGGATCAGTGTTGTGCTATCCTACATTTTTTCCAGGGCCTGGAGATGCAATTTCCTACAATCTGCAGGCAATTTCCCACCAATTTTCTTGGGGAGCTAATAGGCTGTGACAGGAGATGGAGCTAGCAAGCAGCAGGCAGCTTCAGAAAAGACAAACTGCATCTTGCCACCTAACTGGGCAATCTAGAAAGACAGAGTTTATAGCTTTGTAGTGTTATTGGGCTACACGCTAACAGCAAATCATTCAAGCTGCTATCTGAATTTCATATTCTTCTCTTTCTGAATTTGTTATCACCACATATCACTTTGTAGCACTTTTTCTACAAACAACAGTTAAACACAGATCATGTATGATTTCTAGTTTAACTGCCTTTTAACTAGACAAGCCTTGCTAAACGCTATTCACATTCAGAAACAGAAAAACACACAGTCTCACTGTCAAACAGTGATATTTTTGATTATTTTCATACTTGTCAATGTACAAAGCAAGATGCCTACAGAAAGGGATTGATTTGTAAGCTAAATTCAAATGAATCACACAGTGCAAACTATGGGAACATTTAGAAAAGCCACTACAGTGAATATACCTATTGTGGTAAGAAACTCCCACCGATCATATAGAGTACAAAATGAAAGCATAAAAATAGCTTGTAAGTTCTCCCTCTACTCTAGTAGTGCTCGAAACCTAAAAAGTTTAATGGAACAGTCTATGATCAGTTCAAAACCATCCATACAACCATTTACCATACAGATTTAAAATTATTTGAAGTTAGTAAAATTAGTAAAGCTCTAAGAATGTATCACCATACCCACTTTAATAGAAATGAAACTGATTTAAAGCTGCTAACCCTAAGATATTTAAAATAATTAAAAAAAAAAAATGATTCAAAGGCACATAACACTAGCAACTATTGCAAGTTATATCCATCACTGTAATTCCTCTTATTATTACAGCAAACCCAGGGGATAAATACTGTAAACACATTCCATTACAGGACCCTGTATATCTGTATGTTTTTCTTCAGAATATATAAGAACAAGTTTCTGAAGGCATGGAAATTATTAAAAACAACCAATAATATTCATTAAATTATTACAGTTAGCAACATTTGAAAGGTTAATATTTTCCCCTTCCCCCCAACAAGAATAAATTAAGTAGAGTAAAAACAATCCCACCTAAATTATTGCTGTCCACTGGGAGACAAAATTAGTATTGAGGTGTATAAAATTTTACTATAATTCAACCCTAAGGATTTTTTTAAAGTAATGAAAAAATGTATAATTACAGTGAACAAAGTGTTGAAATATTCTAACATGCATTTTGACACTCTCACATTTAAACCACTTGTTATTAATATCCCCATTTCAGATTTGTGGTTTTTAAATAAGTTACAGCTAGATAAAATACTGAAGAACCAAGCAAAATTATAAATAGAGTACCAGGTCAATAACTTGCACTCAACAAAAAAGTGTGTCTACATAAACAAATAAAAAAGCTATGAAAACCATTCAAAAACCGTTAAGTACTTCCTTGAACAGATTCACTGATAAAAACACAAGGGAGTATCTTGAATTTAACAAACAAAAATTAATGATTTCTCTATACAAGTTTATAAACCTCTTGAAGTACACATTCAAAAACTCATAATTAGTGAATATTCACTCAACTGCTGTCAGAAATACACATCTCACATAATTAACAATCAGAAAGACAGAGAAAGGTAGAGTACTTTGTACGTATAATGAATTAAAATGTCTCTAGAGGACTAATACATACTCAGGAGGAGACACAGGGGAGCACAATAGTAAACCTGTCCCTGTATGAAAAGGAAACTTATTCCAGGAAGTAAATTTAATGTGGTCACAAAAGTTGAATGACTCCGAAGTTTTGTTGCATGCATGGCATGCTAGGCAAATACTAAACGGACATTAAGGTCATTTACATACTTAACAGTAGTGTTTGCCTGATTAATCAACAATCAAAAATATTTTGAATATACAAAACCATCAGATTGCATATTTACTTGAAACACAACTAAGAAAATACTCAGGTCCAACTGCAGAAAATAATAGGTGATTATTTTCTTAAGAATAAAGGGAATCTTCATTGTTCTCCAGAATATCTTGCTACAGCAAACCACAAGAGTTATTAGTTTATCATAATTGTTGCCAATTTTTAAAGTAATGGGGTAATCCACTGTGGATTGCTGTAAGGAAATGGGACAAAGACTGTGAAATGAACAGACGGATTTTATTTTAAACACATTAGGCTCACTACCAGGAAAGTAACAAGTGTTTTCTAAGTTTCCCAATGCTATGAGTTAACTTGTATTTATGATCCCTTCATTCTGCTTTTTAAAACTACCATTAAAATCAGTCCTTGAAGGAAAAACAGCATTTATTATTTGCAGTTACAAGCTATCGTCTCCATTTTTATGCTAATGACAGAGTATACAAAAGGGATAATGATAACAGTGTTTTTGATTACTTAATCTCTAAACTATGCATTATCTTTACCTCAAACTCATTCTTGCCAGAAAACATAAACAAGGTTCAAGAGATACTATACCTTTGTACTGTGAACATAGCAAAGGCAATTGCCAAACTCTATGCAACAGCAACTGTCTAGCAGCATCTCTTCTATGAATCAACCTTAATGTAGGCAAAAATCACATGTGAAATTTTAGGAGAACAAAGGTCTCAAAATTTTTTACTTCAGAAGCCACCACAGAATTTTTCAGTGGCAAGTCAACTACACTGATGAGCAAGTCCACAGTGATTATGAGTATGGAAAAATGACACTATCTTATCTCTGGGTGCTTGCTTTAGTAGGGGAAATTATTACAGCATACACTGGCTGATATTATCTATGTGTCTATCCACTAAAAGATTCAACCAGATTTTCCTTTAGTCTACATATCACCAAGAGACTTTTTAGCAACAAAATTCTTAATAATGCATGAGACAGAAAGGGCACAGCCTGTTCAGCTTCTAGGAGTGAACTATGGGACCTGGCAATATGGGGGTGGGGGGTGGAGGGTGGAACAAACCAAACTGTTCAGATTTGAAAATGATAACTAACAGTGGTCCCATAACACCAATTTTTTGGCATTCAGTTTTCTGAAAACAATTATTTCCCTTTACTTTCTTGTTGTATTCAATTTATAGATACTTTTAAAGGTATGTAGAAAAAATTAAATAAATCAGTACAAAAAAGCAAAAAAAACCCTCCATTTCGATGTGTGTTTAAAGCACAGTTTTTGCGGTTTTAAAAATGTTTGAGCGCTCCTATACAGCTGAACAGAAATTCTGAGTAAACTTCTGAGAAAAGTCAGTAAGCTACACCCACAGGGTAGATTTTTAAAGCACCCAGTTCCTATATGTCTGGTTTCCCTAGCAAAATCTACCACGCTGCACTAAGCACTTAAGCTGCAATGGGACATCTGGGAGCACGTAGCTGAAAATGGGATTATCAATTGCTGGAAAGCTGATCTTAAGCTACAAAAATATTAGGTAATGGGAAATGTTGAGAACTGGCGGTGATTTAACTCTCTTTCCTCTTAGGGTTAGATGACTGCTTATGTATGTCAAAGAAATGCCCACTTCCCGTTTCAACACACAGGTGAGGTGTCCTTGAATTACTGTGCAGAAACATCTGAATAATTTATAGAGAAATAGTAATCAGTGAAATTGCATAATGAAATCTTATTGTAGGTGAATTTTGTAGATTACATGTTAAGACTACCACTAAAATGTATGTGTGCCATGTTTCCATTCTCCCTCGTCCCTCCATGTATTCCCTGCCATGAATTCTTTTATTTCATTTTGGTATTTATCAGGTTCTACTCTGAGCTGCTTCATCTTTCCCATTCTATAATAGAAGACCTCTCCAGCTGGACACCATGAATCCAGTCTTGTATAGACCTCAAATTCTCAGTTTCTTTCTATGCACCTGTGGAAGGAAAAAAAAAAAAATCCTTCAAAGAGACAGCACAGTTGGAGCTAGTCCAGCTTCTTCAGTGAAGTGGATTAAGGTGTAAACACTTTATCAGTAGTGCGAAATCTGAATTCAGTACTCTTCTTTCGCCTGAAAACATCCACCTTTCTTAATCACCAGAACGGTGAAACTTCCCCATTGACTCAAAATTGCACCAATATAATAGAAAATATGAAGGACTACTCTAACTAGATTACATGATCCCACAGGCTTATAAGTGGGGCAGTCTTTCCACCAAAAGAAAAAAAAAAAAAACAACACACACACACAAAAACACCCCCAGTTTGTCAGTCTGGGTTTCAATTACTTAAGTAACTTAGTTAGATGCTTCTAAAAATTCTACCTGCATCACCAGTGCAAAGATGTGACAGAAAAACTATGGTCAATTGTTTATACACAGAAGTATGCTTGTGACTAGATGACAGATTCTACTTTGGTGTTTATATGAAAAAATAAGACTACTATTTTAACAGTCTATGAACTTCATATTCATCCCTCTTCACATTAAAGGAACAAAAGCTTTTGAAATGCTAAACAAGTTTAAAAGAATTAATGGAGATGAAAATTCTCTCAAGGACCAGGAGCTTGTGGGTTGATGTGGGAAACTACCTTTGCTTGCAACTATAATCAAAAAGAAGTACCCTGACACACTGACAAATGCATTGCATGGAATATCATCATGATTTTATGCACAACTGATTTATAAAACGTTATGCCTAGTGCACATATTCAAAATACACACATTAGATCTGGCAAAGGATTTTATTCAGTTGAATTGATATTACCACAGATCTCCTCTTCATCGGTTATTTTTTGCACTGACATCCAGTATGTCATTTCGTAAGGACTCCCTGCTTCTATCTGGCACTAGCATTTGCCAGAGTGGCATTCAGAGATCTCTGAATACTGAGGGCCACCCAGCAAAAAAAGACTGTCCCAGAAAGGGGCTAACTAAAAGAATCTTTTAGGATTGTAATTAAAATTGACCCAAAAAAAATATTAATTACCTACACCACAGTTACCAGGGTGTACCTCTTTTTTCCATGTGCTTTTCCCAGTGCCTTTTCTGTCACTGCTGGTCTGGGTTGGCCTGTTTCTTCATCCAATATGCAATTATTTCCACCCACTACTTTACAGAGGGCTGCAAGATCTTACAGAAGTTTTAAGACCTACAAGTTTTAAATCGTATAGGTAACAGCATAGACAGACATTCTAAGATTTCATCAAATGTATCTTTACATTAAAAATTACATCTGCTGATGGAATAGGCTCTACTGGTTGACAAATGAAAACAAAGTTTCATAAACTGTAAGTGAAACCCAAACCAAAAATTTAGAGGACTATTGTATGATGCATCCCCAAGTTTTCAGACCCAAAGCTTAAAGTAGACCTGACTGGAGAAAAAAATAAGTAATTACCTAATTATAGCCAAGAAATATATGTTACAAATATGATTAAAGTCATTCACATACATAGTTTCCAATTCCACAACTTCTCTGACTCACTGTGCATTCTAGAAGCTAACAAGAAAGACAATGTATTTAATGATTTTCCTGACAGTATAGTTTTGAACCTCCTGATTGCCAAGAATGTGGTCTTATTAACAACTACTCTGTCATAACTTATAGCTGATATATTACATGTGTGTTACATGAATGTGTTAGAATACTTTTATTCTTGGTTCCTCTGATATCAACTTTTAAGAAAGGCAAGAGAACACCTATAAAGTAAATGCAAGGTGATAGTAGTGTGGAAGAAATCCGAATGTTCCTAACTGCAGCAAATTTGCCAGTGCTGCTAAGCAAAGTCAATGATCATCGGCAGAGTCAGATGTTCAGAAAACTTCAATATGAGAACAGGGTAGCGTAAAAGTAAGTAACCTAGTACATTATTTTTTTTTAAGCTTTCCCTTTTTAAAATAGCACAGCACTTCACAGGATTTCAATGTAGCAAGTACAATTACTTATTTGAAAAGTCTGAGGATTCTGCTTTTTGCCTCCCTATGTGTGAAAGGATCATGACCACCACCTAAGTCAGTCTGTCATTTTCATACAGATGGTTATTCACAACACAGCAATGGACAGATATAGATACATATGGATAGAACACTAATTTTACATGTCCAGGAGACCAGATTATCCTGAATGTTTAATATTGTATTAAGGCTATTATAATTCTAGATGCTATAGAATGGTCATATAAATTGAAAGGAAAACTGATGTCTCTTCAGACTGGAAGTTGAGAGAAAATTTGCCCCCAGATGAGAAATTCCCTATCCAGTCTGTCAGTCAAACATATATCTTCCTTGTTACATGTCTTTGAAAGAGCAGGGGTACAGGTCATTGTTAAATGCTAGCAAAATGAGAAAGCAGCTCTTCACAAATGAATCTCAATCTGTTTGCCAGCTTGTGTAATCTGAATTATTTGTTCAAAGATAATCTCCTGTTCATCTGTCCTCTCCATTAAGAACAGGAATTATAATTAAATTACAGAATGTAGGAAATATATGGGCCTCACTGGTGCAATAGCTAGGTCTGTCTAGCACACGGTTGTAGAACTCATTAATCTGAAAAAAGTTAGAATAAAATGTACATGTTCTCTCCTCATCCGTTTCTTTTGAGTACACCAAGAAAACCTGATCTGAAGATGCGTAGCTTTGGTAACTGGCTGCTTAGCAAGGCTCTTCACAGATATCACAAACTAATGTGACAGTGGAAAGGACTCAGATTGTTCAGGATGAATACATAGAGCCTATAGGCCTGTTTAATATGGGACACTCAGGAAAATTAATTCTAATTAATTTGTACAGTGGATTAGTTAAAAATCAAACTACTCCTTTGTCAATATTCTCACAAGAAATTAAGAAGTGAGTTTAACTTAGTTTAGGTTAATTCACTTCACTTGGAGCCCTGCAAGTATTTAACATTGTTTAAGTGATCCCCTGTAAAGCTCACACTTTTGGTAATTTAATTAAATTTACCTGAGTATCTAAGTATAGACAAGACATTAAAAAAGAAATGGTCATTAACTACCACTTCTCTGTAACATAGGATGAAACTTATATAGCTTTGTTTAATCACAGACATCCTCAGTTAATGAATAAAGGCTCTGATGTACTTAGTTGAAATGTAGTCTCACATGAATTCTGTTCAGCTGGGGGAGAAAGGAGAGGGAAGTCACCTTTTCTAGAGAAATGACCAAATGAGCTAGGATCAGGCACATATTACTGTATCTGCCAAAGAACATATATATGGGACATCAGAATAAACTTAAAATAAACTGCACAACTTTATGAAATGTTCCATTTTTATATTTACACTATAATTAGTACAAAATTGCCTTTTAAGTTTTCTGTAGCACAAGACAGTATCTACTGGACTTGATACCCTAATATTGCAAAACAACTACTTTGAAGTATGATAAAGGAATCTAGGAAGAGTTATAAAGAATAATACACCATTTTCAAACTATACATAGTGTTTGCTTTTGCTTCTAAAAAGGTACTTATATCCCCAAAAGATTTTTAATTTTAAATAAGCAGGGTGGGCAGGGAGGGGGCAGGGGGGAAGATTGGTTGTTGGTACTAAAGCCTTTACTGTAATAAACTAAATATATTTACAATTTATACAAATATTTGACCTTCAACAAAAAATACAAAAACATATCACAAGATGCAAAACCAGGAAACAAGTTCATCTGAGACAGCACTGCTCTACACAGGACAGAATGCAACTTGAACTGCAAGGAACAGAAAGTTATTTATCCCCCATATTCAGGCAATGAGAACAATTTGCATGAGGTCACAAAGAAAGAAAAAATAAAAGGCTCCAACATTCCTCAGTAGACTTGGCTTTTAAAAACCATTCCAAAAACCTAGGCTACATCTGTCCATCTTGCCTCTGTGTTCCGTTTGGTCCATGTAGCCAACATTTAGTTGCTGGATGTTGCCTTCTATTTTGAAAAATCGGAGTAGTTTCATGGCAAGGTCTGGAACCTCAATACTTTTGTTCCTTTTTAAAAGGCAAAATCTTTCTACTTCTACCATTAAGAACAATTTTGGCCCAGTTCAACTTCTAAAAGTTATATCCCCATCATATTTTTCAGTAGATAACTTCATAGACTGTAGCCTTTTTGTCTCCAGAGCCAGTGACTATGTACTTATCATCCACAGAGATGTCACAGCTAAGCACTGATGAAGATTCTTTGGACTAGAAGAAAAATAGAAATATATTACATAATTTTTTTTTTAAAAAAGTCTGTTACCCTCATCTCAGCATACCATTTTGGGTAAATCACATACATGAAGATATTCGAGTCCACTCTTGGGACTTCAGGTGGTGGGGTTTTTTTTCAAAGCATCATCCTCACCTGGAAGATACTGGCTCCATAGGGAGTTCTCCATGCATTGAGAAGATTATCTTTCCCAGTACTCACAAACCATTTACCTGGAATATAAAACATGAGGACTATGAAAATATACAAAACAGACATCTGGATTTTGGATTTTCAATTCACATCTATGAAATCTGTCAACTAATTACCATTATAAAAGCTCTCACCACTAATCAACACTACTTTTGCTTACAATCAATGTGGACATTCATGCTTTTGCAGCGTGTTACATAGTAGGAAATCCCTAGACTCTGTAAGTAGAAATAGCTTTCCACACACAAATCTATCCTCACAGAAGCCTTTAGACAAACAGGTGGTTGTTTGTAGAGGTAAGTATGATTGAATTCATAAAGCAGAGAAATTTATTCATAACTTAAGAAACTGACATACTAAATGAGTTTTTATTATCAATTGAGCTATGCCTATGTAATAACTAATCAGCAAAGCATGAATTAGAGACCTGACCTCTGTGTTCAGGGTAACTTACCACAGTAAGCAAACTTGAGTGACAATACACAACTCTCATGAAGGTGCAGCTGATATTTGTCTGGTTTATTTACATGTAGCACTTCTACGTTGCTGCTCTCCATTCCCACAGCTAGCCATTCACCAGTAGGACAATAACCAAGGGAAAATATCTGAAAATTAAACCACATTTAGACTTGTTATATTTTCCTACAGATACACTTTTTTTTTTCCTACAGGGAGATAGCGAGAGGAGGGCACAATATAATTCACATAGTTCAGTACCAAGACTGCTGTTCAAAATCCAAGTGATTAAATAACCTGTTCATATCTATTAATTTAGAAAAACAGGAAAAGACAGTAGTGTCAGGCTATCATTTTGTTTTGGAAGCTAAACATATGAAAGCTCAAAAATATTGGAAGAGAAGGAACAATCTGTCAGTTGCACTGGGCTCAGTCTCAGCTTTTATCCTAAATGTTTCCCTCCAACTGCACAACTCCCACCCCAAGCTGTAAGAAAATCCAGTTACCTGTGATGTGAAGTCATGCTGCTGTAGCTGTCTTCCCTCTCTCAAGTCCCAGGATCTGACAGTGTTATCCAAACCTCCTGTCCAGAGCTTGGTACCATCATTAGAAATGTCAATACAGCTGGCTCCGTCTGTGTGGCCCTGGAATTGCCTGATAAAACAAACCAGATTGAATAATGATTTCCTGCCAGAGCTCAAGGTAAACACTGTTGTAGTGTTAGTTTTGGACTCTGTATGTGTGTGTCATCTCTACTGTGTCTGCTGATGGGCAAAAATCAGCCCCTCCCTCTTACTGAGCATGGACTAGAACAGCATTACAAAAACATTTTGCAGGTGCTAGAGAAATGAATTGCATCATGGCTAGCTGAACAAACTCAAATATTTCCTATCAGGTTTTGAAAAGAAAAAAAAGCTTCTAAAAACATTAAAGTACAGTAACTATAGTTAAAAAGCAATAAGGACACCTCAGATTAAAACAAGTGCTGAGGGAACAAAACTGCTCCAGTTTCAGAAAAAAACTTATGGATTTTTCTATGGCTGCAAGTCAAGATGATAGATATTAGGAAGAGTTATTAGGAGGAAGGAATCCAGATAAGAGATCCAGATAGCTAAACACAAGCATTGCTGAGTCAGCAAAGTTGCATTCTCTGTGGCAAGAGATCGCAAAAAAAATCTAAGTAGTGCAGTTTGTTTTGAAGTTTTCTCATTAGTAATTCTCAGCTTTCAGCAACCAGAAGGTCATCTCAAGTTTTCCTTAATCCTTTGGAAAAAGCCTTCTGAGACTCCTGCATTTTTATCAGCAGTTAGCAATAGGAAAGTCCTATGCCCCAATGTGAAAGGTGGAGGGCAGGGAGGAAAAGCAACTAGTTTGGGAACGAAGGGTATGAATCACTACAAGCTGCCACAGAAAGGTCACATGGCACATTTTGTTTTGTAGCTCTGGTCTCAAAATTCCACGTGTTATCAATTAACAAACTCAGCCAGAAAGTGGTGGGAACACCTACAGTAGACACTCAAAAGACAAGACAGTCAGAGTGCAGCTTTACAGAAACTAAGCATGCATACTGCAAACCAAAGATTTTATATAAATAAAATCGTCTTTGTTGACCTACAAGTTAAACAGAAAGTAAAATTTGCATGCACATTAATATGACTCTGCACATAAGTTTAGGCTCATTATTGATATATAGAAAATGTAATTGAAACATGGCAGACTAAGCAGATTCTTTAGTGTTTGTATTTGGAACTTCTGAAATATCATGGCCTTTCTGAATTTAGGCTCTCCTCACAATATTGTAAGGCACCACTGCTTTGGTAAGTATAAACCAAACTTATCTTCTAGTAACCCACACAGCTAGTTGCTAAGAGCCATTTCACACATGGCCCTATCTTTTTTCTCTGTCATAGCACTAATGCTGAACACTGACCTGCTATACACTTCAATCTTCTAGTAATATGTTTATTAATCAAAGGTCTAAGAAAATATTTCAGAAGTAATTTACATGGTAATCCATTTATTATACTCTTTAAAACCCATTTTAGAAGTTTTAGAGATCAAATTCCCCAAAACCTCAAACACATTTCTCTCATGAATGACCAAAAATAAGTCTTTATGCTTTCCTAAAGAACTGAGAGGATCCACACTTTCAACTGCTTTGGTAAGATAAATTTTATTACTATAATAAAATATTTATTATTAATATTTATTTATTATAAGAACTGAAATTTCTCTTAATTACTTAACAAAGCTTAAGACAAAGGAAAAGTTCTCTGAAAGGCATGTTCAGTTTAAATCAATCACAATCAATCAGAAATGCTGCTTGTGGAAACCTGCAGACAAGTCCCAAACTAACCAAAACCAACAGGAACTTTTACTCTGACTGCAGTAGGTTATGGACCAATCCTTTAGGCCATGAAAGTGCATCTTCCAAGACTAGGCTGAATCTAACAAAACTAGATCCTGCCCAACTCTGGTGCAAACTGCATTCTTTGGGTAAGAAATATTATTTACTTTACTGTCATGAACCGCTATTCAGGGAGATAAGTATTTATGTAGCTGTCCAAACAGTAACTTCTATTAAAGTTCTCTGTAAACAAGTAATGACTCACCTGACCAACGTCTGATTGTGCAGATCCCACACTGCGATGTTCCCATCACTGCAGCAGGAAAAGCACACCTTGGAATCAGGACTGATAGCCAGAGCATAACAGGCAGGGGCTGAAGATGTCAGCTCTGCTTTTATACGAGGAGTTGGTGCTGCCAAGTCCCATATGGATAATGTGCTGGCTTCTCCGCCAACTATTAGGGTGCATCCATCAGGCAGCAATTTACAAGAGCGGATGTAGTTATCTCTGTTCTGTACAACACAAATCACCTCAGTTATGTTAATACATGCCTGTCAATTATGACCACTAATATCATTCTGGCTCCATCCAACTTTTAAAGACTACTATTTTTTCCATTAACAAAGTACTGAAGAGGAACCAGCAGATCCTAAAATGTTTCAATCACCTACTTCTCATCACTAACCAGAAACTGCAGCTGCAGAAATTAAAACTACAGACTCCTGTTGCCACAGTGTACTCTGTTTTAAACCTGATGAATGGCAAGTCCTCCATCTCATTACATAAAACCAGATCTAAAGTAACCTTGAATTTCTTCTGCAAGTGCACTCCATCAGTTAAGATCACCAACAATAAAAATATTAAATAAATGACCTTTCCATTTGGCATTTACACAACCCTATATGAAAATGCAGTTCAAGTCTCATTTCAGGTTTTGAAGTCTTCTTTCAAATACTATTTTGCATTCAAAGTTAAATTAAGTATTCCTATATTGGTCCAGGATTTACATTGGTTCTTCTTTTTCTAGAAGATTCTTATTGCACATTTGTGATACTATTGCTGATTGAGGTACTGCAAGGGATTTAGAGGTGGAAAACATTTCAACCTTCCTTTATTACAAGCTTGGTTCCTTAAGTGTATTGGATGGCCATTTCTCTATAAAAGCGGCCAAATTAACATGGTAACAGTTCTTTAGGAAATGAAGCATTAAGATCTGTAACTCAAAACACAGAAAAAAACACTGCAAGAAGTAGCTAACAGCATTCCTACTACTACTTTTTTTTTTTATTCACGATAAAGGAGCCATAAGTAGTGCATGGAAATGTTAGCTTAGTCAGCCATTACTGCTCCATAACTAAAAGGCAGGCAGCTAAGACTATGCCTCAATACATATTCAACTTTTACTACTAGACAACATAAAGGTAGCAGTAAATAAAAGATAAAGACTAAAAAAAACCCAAAACAAACACCCCACCATATTTAATTGGATCAACATTGAAACTAGAATTATTTTCATTCAGAATACATATTACTGTGCTTTACAACATTAAGTCTTCTCAGTTAACATTTCACAAACATCCATGTTGCTTTTAATATGAGAAGTATCGTTTATTGAGCCATTACTTTTCTGAGTTAGCTTTTCAGCTACACATACTACTGCATTCAGTCCCTTTTGTATACCGCAGATATGAAAACAACCAACAAAAATTTATAACTTGTGGACCACCAACAAAAGCATAGCAGGACTTAGTGACCTGGGTACCTTGTCACATTATTTTATTATGTGATTGATACCCTCTTATAAAAAAAAAAAAAAAAAAAAAAAAAAAAAAGAGGTTGTCACTCCTGGTGTGAGCGAAACACATAGGAAGGTTCTTGTGCAGCTCTGCAAAAGCCAGGCTACACTCCTTTTCAAACTTATGCACAAAAATCATCAGCATAACTAGATGAGAAGAGAAAAAAGAAAAAAAAAAAAAAAAAAAAAGGAAAAAACCATCAGGTATGCTCCCTACTCGGAAATCTTATCTGTTATTTGACTCCTAGTGATAATATTTATCCCTAAACAAACCAGCACTTGTCCCTGTAACTCCACCTGTTATATGTTAAAAGAAAAAAAAAAGACAGCTAAATACATAAAACAGGAAACAGAACTGCCTGCTATTTCCTTGCAACATGAACAAAATCCAGACAAGGACAGCTATTTCCTTATTGAGACTCCAAGGAGAAGCTACCCTTGTGCACAAGTTCATGTTCACCTACCAGGCAGTCCAGCTGAGAGACAGGGCTCTTGTTGCCAGGCTGGCTGATGTCCCAGACTTTGACACACCCTTTCCCACCCGTGTACACATGTCTTGTGGGGTTGCTGATGGTAACTGCACACACAACTTCCCCGTGGTTCAGCGTGTTGATCTGACGGGCATGGCGAGGGATTCCTGGACCGATGAGGGCATCAGGAGGGAAAGGAACTGGCTGCATCTGACCATCTGCAGTAACGTGAAAGGAGTAGGCTCTTTTGGGAAAGTGAAAGAAAAGAGAAGACAAAAAAAAAAGAATCAGCCAGTTACACTGCCATAATGCAAGCAAAACTAATTTTTTTTACTTGATTTCTTTGCCAGTCTTTTTCTCATGAAAATCAGAACTACAGTGCCAAGTAATACAGGCACATAAAACCTCAGAGGGAGACAAGGATTCAAATAGATACTTTCAGCTTGCTGCACCTCAGGTATTCATGCAGTAGGGAAGCATGTTAAATTCTTTACGGTCCAAGGTCACAGCTGCTATCCCTCATCCACCTAGATAATCAAATCAGCATCCTGGTTTCTAGCTAGCAGTTCCAAGTTCAGTACCACAAGTCCTGCAGCAGCAATCCCTCACCAGGTACTATTCTTTCAGCCTTCTTCCATGAGGCTTGCACCTGCTGCCTTTGTAGTAGCACTAGCCAAAGTTCAACTTTTGCTCCATTTCTGCACCTCATCTTTAACACCAGCACCAGCTCTGCTCACATGCCTCTCTTTCCAGCTGGTAATTAATGTTTTAAACAGAAAATGGAAACATGCACAATGGTTGCACACACCTTTCAAAGCCGACACTGTATTCTCATAATTATGTTTTCTGTAATAAGTATTTTTAGAAAAGCTGAAAGGCTTAGTTCCCCAGGTAGTTTTAGCACTTCTGTAATACCTTTTATCTGTATTCAGTGAATGATTTCAAGTATATGGAAACTGAGCGCTGAAGAGGAGGATCCCAGCACTGAACAAAAACACTTCTCCTTGGGTAAAGTACACAAAATTATTTCTTCATGTTCACTGCAATGTTTAAAGTCAGCTCTACTCAAAGACCAGGGCATAAATAGCAGCTAATAAAGGGTTTGGGTGCAAGGGGTTTTCTTTGTTTGTTTGTTTTAAATAATAATGAAAATACTACTGCAGAATTCTGATTTTTGTTATACTGATGAGCTCGTTTTTTTGCCACTTCTGTTTTTAAGCACATCCATACACTGTGTTTTTGATGCTGCTGTTACATTAACAACATTCTTCAAGAGGTCAAAGTTGATAAAAAAAGTCAGATGAGTACCTTTTTTTTTTTAACTCCCTAGTAATACCTTTATTTTTTTTAATATATTCCTTTATTTTTAAATATATTCTTGTGTTCAGAATATGCTTTCTTTGCCAAACATACTTTCTTCCTCAGAAATCTTCAGTCACTGTAGCTCAAGTATTGGTATTTCATCCCTCTTCCAAGGACCCAACAATAGATAATTCAATTTAATCTTCTGTTCTGAGCTCTGAGCTAATATTTTCCAAGTATTTGATTTCATGTTTCCAGGTATTGCACAACTTTGTTTGAAAGGAAGGAACAAGCAAGATGCCTAGATCTGTAACAGACATCACAAAGCAACTGAATATACCCAGAAGCAGAGCAGAAGACACTCTTTTTTAAAGGTGTGAGAAGTGGAGAGGTGAAAGAACTCTACAGTTCTTTCATACAGAAGCTAACAGTGGAAACACTCACCCCATGTAATATCACAATTTTCTCAGAAGGGAAGGGTAAAAACTAGTTATCAGTAACTGCTGTTAAACAAAGAAGAAATTAATAGTGCATATATGTCAATCCCTGTACGTCATTCATGGTTGGACTTGTGAGTTGAAAGCCTGCACAGCGAATACACAGAAATGGAGGATAAGCGAGTGCAAAAGATTAATATATTTTTATCATGAAATGAAAGGTAGGAAAGGAAGTGCAAAGTTCACTTCATTAACATGTATACAAGATGCACAGTATATCAAATATATTTCTTTCCATGTGACCCTTTCTTTTTTTTTGTATGAAGAATTACAGTAATAATAAAGGCTTAACTAGAAATATGTATAATTTCTATGAAGAGGAGTAAAGACAGGACTGTCCCAAAGTAGTTATTTACTAAACAGATGAGACACAGGATGAGAGAGGAAGAGGAGTGGCAACAAGACTGCTCAAGGCTGAAGAACTGATGAGGTTCAAGTACAGAATCCAACTAAAAAGTCATAGCACTCAACAGGCTGAAAAGCTGGGCCCCATCCTGGGCTCCAGATCAAACTCAGCTGCAGAATACTTGTTAGCATGAAGAGTACACAGAACCGCACAACTATGAAGTCTCAGCCTGCCTTTGCTTTTATTATGGACAGAAGAAAAACAATTAAGCAAGTATTAAGCAATTTTTTCCAGCATATTTACTATGAATAATCCATTTATACATATTTTTTCTTTAAATGGAAGGTTACAGTGCAAATATTCTGTTCAATTCAAAATACCTAAAGGTGTTTTTAAATAATTCTTTGCATACACACAGCTTCTCAGTTCTCGCTGATATCATAGAATTATCTAGGTTGGAAAGGACCTTGAAGATCATCCAGTCTAACAGTTAACCTAGCACTGTTCCCAACTACACCATATACCTCAGCGCTATGTCAACCCAGCTCTTAAAACACCTCCAGGGATGGAGACTCCACCACTGCCCTGGCAGCCCATTCCAACGCCTAACAACCCCTTCTGGAAAGAAATACTTCCTAATATCCAGTCTAAACCTTCCCTGGTGCAACTTGAGGCCATTCCCTCTTGTCCTGTAGCTTGTTACTTGGTTAAAGAGACTCATCCCCAGCTCTCTGCAACCTCCTTTCAGGGAGCTGTAGAGGGCGATGAGGTCTCCCCTCAGCCTCCTCTTCTCCAGACTAAACACCCCCAGTTCCCTCAGCCGCTCCCCGTATGACCTGTGCTCCAGACCCTGCACCAGCTCCGTTGCCCTTCTCTGGACACGCTCGAGTCATTCAATGTCCTTTTTGTAGTGAGGGGCCCAAAACTGAACACAGGAATCGAGGGGCTGTCTCTTATACACAGAGTACAGGGGTCAGATCCCTTCCCTGTCCCTGCTGGCCACGCTATTGCTGACACAAGCCAGGATGCCATTGGCCTTCTTGGCCCCCTGGGCACACTGCTGGCTCCTGTTCAGCCGGCTGTCAATCAACACCCCCAGGTCCCTCTCTGACTGGCAGCTCTCCAGCCACTCCTCCCCAAGCCTGTAGCGCTGCTGGGGGTTGTTGTGGCCCAAGGGCAGCCCCCGGCATTTGGCCTTATGGAAACTCCTCCAGTTGGCCTCAGCCCATGGCTCCAGCCTGTCCAGGTCTCTCTGCAGAGCCTCCCTACCCTCGAGCAGATCAACACTCCCACCCAACTTGGGGTCACCTGCAAACTGACTGAGGGTGCACTCGATCCCCTCGTCTAGATCATCAATAAAGATGTTAAACAGGAGTGGCTCCAAAACCGAGCCCTGGAGGACACCACTCTTGACCAGCCGCCAACTGGATTTAACTCCGTTCACCACATCTCTCTGGGCCCGGCCATCCAGACAGTTTTTTACCCAGCGAAGCATGTGCCCATCCAAGCCGTGAGCAGCCAGTTTTGCCAGGAGAATGCTGTGAGAAACGGTGTCAAAGGCCTTGCTAAAGTCAAGGTAAGCAATGTCCACAGCCTTTCCCTTATGAAATAAGGTCACCCTGTCGTAGAAGGAGATCAGGTTTGTCAAGCAGGACCTGCCTTTCATGGAGTGGGAGGAAAACAGTAGGAACATTTTTCAAGTGCTTCATGCATACTGTAGAATTACGATAACTTTTCTGCTCTGAAACACTAGAAACTTACCCAGTGTATTTTCAATCATGTAGAATTTTACCAGTATGTCCATATTTAATGTGCAGTTATACAGATCATAAGGTCGTAAGATCTAAGTTGGTAGGACTAGTCTTACCATCATGAGCAGGCATTTGCTTCCAAGACTGGCTGATCAGTACTCCGGATGACTAGAGTTTGAGGGCCTAACAAACATGACCAGCAATAGTTTCTGACAAGCCAAGACAGCTTTTTCTATAGTGAAAGTTATCAACAATTCACCCTGTAAAGAAATGGCTACATATTGTCAAATCCCTCTGCCTCTGCTAAGACAAGCACACGAGAAGTAAATGTTCTCATTTGGGTGCAAGTTAGCTTGCTCTCTCCTAATAGGAGCTCCCTGCTGCTGAGATGTTTTGACTGGTAACAGGTCTGAGCCTTCATGTCCCACTGCCCTTCTGTGACACCTGCTCTATTCTGCAGCACAGCTCTAGAAGCCACAGTGCAAACTGTTGCCATACACAATAGGTCTCCTTCCAACCCTGATGGAGTAGCAGTATTAAACACCAGCCAGGCAGGCTGGCAGCAAAGTCTTGTGGTTTTTGTTTGTTTTGGTTTTTGTTTTTTTAAAATTGGTTGGAAACAGAAGTGCTGAAGTACTAAGAGGCTGACTCCTGTTCTTACCTCTGCTGTCAGAGTGGTTCCAAAGAATGTTTATCAATATGGTGACAGGCGCTTTTTATATATACATAAAAAAGCCACCTTAACTGTCAGAATACTTATGTGGTCTAGTAACTTGTATGGACTAAATATTATGGTTTAACTTTTCATTACAAATACTTTCTACTTTGAAAAAACTTGAATCATTTACAAGACTGACACTCCCTAGACAAAGAAAGATTCTGTTCCAGAGGAACACAGTACTGGAGACAGCAGCGCAAACAACTATTTGCAACTCAATTGCTGTTGTCTTTGGCTACCTCTCCATTAAGTCACCATGAAAGAGGGCCTACTCTGCTACTTCTGGGGAGGACTGTACTTCCAGTGCTACACTTACAAAGCTGTAGGTGTAGTGACATACCAATAAGAAATTACTCAAATTTTAATGCACTAGATATTTTCACAGTATAAATTCTCAAAACTACCAAGGATTTTGGTTGGCCAACCTTCAAAGAGTCAACATTTAGTAAAATTTGGTAAATTCTTGAGTTCTCTAAAGCTCAAGATATTTCTTGACAGGCATCCCTTGCCCACCCATCTTTCTACTCAACAAATTGCTATTAACATCTGAATTCCATAACACAGCAAAAATGTAATATGCATTTTTGTTCTTTTATTATTATCTTTTATAACTGACAATGTATGCCAGAAACTGTTGTTCCCCTTCATGATAATCATGGGTTTCTGTCTCACTCACGGCATTCTGTCTCTATGAAATGACTGGGTTCCATGATTGTCCATCTTTGGTCAAATGAGCATTGGCATTGAGATAGCCCTCCCTGATGTTGGGCTAACAACAACAGCAAACGAAGAGAAAGTTCTTATACAGTGCAATTACAATTTAACATAAACCAAGTTAAGTGCATATCAAGTAATACATAAATATACACTTGTAATTATTATGAAAAGAACAGTTACAAGACAAACTTGCATGCCTGAGAAACAGTATACTGTCACTTATGATTATATTCTTTCTGAATAACAGAAATATTCTTCTGATCTATTGCATCCAAAGATTTATCCTCATTTCTGTCAAAGCAGCACTGAGAACCTGCAGAGTTCCTATACATACAGCATAGTAGGTGATACTAATACAACCCAGTTTCTCAGCTTAAATCTGATAATTATGGTCTCCCAATTTCCAAGTAAGTATCAAATAAGTATGTAATAAGTATCATCTGACCTGCTGAGGTGAGTTCAGAATAATTCACTGCTCGAGAACATGGCATATCAATTAAACTACCTAACTGCCAGCTACTCTAAGTATTCAGATTAATATACTACATGCAATTCCTATGTAAAGTTCCATGCCTCAAAAAAAAAACCTTCCACTTCATATCTCCAATTCAAAAAGAATTCCTTAACTAGCACAAAAATACCTCAACTACAAAATGCAAAAGCAGACAGTTCCTTCTACTGATGAGTACATTTTACTTTCAGCTCTTCTTTGACTCCAGATTATTTTTACTTACAGTTATCACAAGAAACTGTGAACATCTGTATATGGTGTTTCATTATATAGGACAAAATGACAAGAAATAAGGACAAAGGTATTTGTACAGAAATAATGACATTTTAACTTCATACATGTCATCAAATAATTCTATCCAGAGATGCAAGGTGGTGGGTAAACAACCTGTTATTCTAGAATATTTAACCTTCCTTTAAAATATTCCTCACTGTACACTCACTGTACACATGTGAAGAACAGGAGAGCTGAAATCTTTTTAATTTTTGAGCAATTCCAGTGTTATACTATTCCTTTCCAGAAACAAAGAAAACCTGGCTTGTAACTAGAAGTTGGAAGAGTTAACATTTACCATATGAAATTTTCCTCTCCTACTTAAATAAGAAACATGTATTTTCAAGTCTTTCTGATGTCTGTGTATAAACTTTAATTAAAATCATGTTTCAAAAAAATACTGAGAAATGCATCTGTCCTCAATGCTACCATCAATTCACAATTTTAGACACCAGGAAAGCAATACTGTGGACATAAATCTTACACTGAGCTTAAAAAATCAGTGCACAGCCCAACTATTAGTAGGTGTGGTTCAACATCAAGGAGAAATCCACAAGAACATCAACTTAGCAGCTCTAGAATACTAAAAGCTAAATAAATACCCTGCCGGAAAGGCTATGCAGAAGAAAAAAACATGATTACAGCAATACACCAAAAACCTATAGTCCAGGACATAGTTAAACGGTATCAAAACAACAGAGTGCAAGGCTCAGACATATGTCCATGTCAAAAACTAGTACTGATTTCCCACTCCCAACTTAAGACAATTATTGATTAGATGATGGCTCCAGGCAATTTGGAAAGAGAAAACACCCCACCCCATCCCCCAAAAAATCCCCAAACACAAACCCAAAACCAGAATCGTACCCTGAACAAGAAGCCTTGTTCAGAGTTACTTAAACTTCTCCTTCTTGCTACCCATTGGAAAGAATGTATTATCTACTGGGAGTCACAGGCCACAAAGCATCACACATTGCAGACCCCACAAATCTGAAAGGTTTGTTTTCAGAAACATAAAAATATGGTAGTAAAGCCTTATATTTAATCAAATTACAAAACAAAGCAAGCAAAAGACAAATTTTCCAGGCAGCAGTCCCTTGATAGAAGCAAGACACACAAATAGGAGTGGGTTCTTAAGAGGTTACTAATTTTTCTAACAAGTCAGTCATTCACTGATCTCACAATACACAGGGGTTAAAGAAAACTGGGTGGTAGCAGAAAAGTCATTCCTTTGGAAAGAGAGGAACTTAATTTTCTCTTGGAAGCAGGGCTGGGTGAAAACAACAGTGCCAGCATAACCACTGATAAAAATGTGCAACCACAAGCATACACATACGGCTAGGGATTCAATAGCTCAGACTGAAAATTCTCTATACCACTTGCAACAAGACTCAGACTAAAATTCCACATCTCATAAAACAAAATTAGTGTGGCACCTTAACAGCACTCTAGGAAAAGGTAGATTGTGAAAATAAACCAGGAGTACTCCACTAGTTTGCATGATTATATAACCCATGTGCTTTGTAGAGAAAATATAGGAGACTTGCTTAATATAGGTAAGAGACATTCCCAAGATGATGCAGGTAGTAGATGGCATGTAGCTAGCTGTAGCCAGTCAAGACTAAAACAAGAGATCATTCAAAAACTGTCAGTGGAAAGATAATAGGTCAAGTTTGTGGAATTCTAGGTTTGCCTGACTTAAAGATAAGCAAAGAAGCCACTTTAGAGGAAATTACTGACACAGTCCAAGTAACACAACCACAAAAAAACATTACAGAACACATAAGTGGAGAGATTATTAAAAACCCCATACAGACTGTAATTTAGCTATGAAATATCATTATACAAAGTACAGCAGCAAACATGCACTGCTTTTGTGCCTTGAATACTGCAACAGCTAGAACTCATCCCCAGAAAATTTCTGCCTGAACAAAAATAGGTTTTCATACCTTATACTATGAAATATTGCCTGGCATTGCTAATGGAATAAATCACTGAAAGCTTTTGAATATACTTGTTTTAAAGTAAAAATTTACAGCCATTGGATTATGCAACGTCCAAAAATATTTTTTATAAGTATGCTGAATTCTACTAAAGTCACTAAGTCTGACCCTTAATAAAAGATGTTTTGAGAACAAAGCTGGCTCCTTACTGTACTAAATTTAGATATACCACCATCTGATACTAACACCAACTCACTGAGCCTTCACTTCAGTAATCTTGTCAACATACCACCAACCCTTCCTTAAGTAAATCCAAGATTTAACAGGTTTCTCACACAGCCAACAGATAGCTAAATCTGTTTTCAGAAGCATGGTGGGTAACAATAAGAACACATTCAGTATGGCTTTCCTAATCTAAGTCTGCTGCTTTCGTACCGTTATGGAAAATACACACTTTTTTGTCTACAATCTGGTGTACATTTAAGCATGTTTGCATGACTGATGATACAAAGTATCACTAGCAATTAACAGGAGTTCAAAATGAAGGCAAACAGAAGAAATATGTGTGTATATAATTTTCACCATAGTGTGCTTTATAACTTAAGAGAGTATCCTAAAAGTATTAATAGTTTCAAAATTTTTCCTGAAGCTGCAAAAAGAAAAATTAAACCATGATAGATTGGTAAAGAAGACACTATGTAACAGGAACTCCCAGGGTAAGTGCAAAGTGTTAAGTGAGTTTCAAAATTATGTAAGTACCTTGAGATAAACTAACTGCAACTTTCTTGAAAGAGAAGGCAGGAGTAAATGCCAAGCATGAAGGGACAAAGAACAGGTTCTAACAGAGTGCTGAAAAACCTGTTATAATTCTCTCTGTCCCACTTCCTCCAAGAAAACAGATTAGTCAAATCTGCAGTCTATGCTCTGTTTGTACCTGCATAGTCCCACTGACAAAAATTACTTCTTAAATTATCCCATATTAAGAGGTCATACATGCTCATGACTCTACTACTGGATAAACTCAGTCTCAACAGTCTACCAAAGCCAAATTACTGAAAAATTTGATGTATGTTGTTTTGGTGATTTTATTGCAACATCAAGAAGCCACAGCATCACAGAGGTATTTTATTTAACCATCTCTTCAATAATTAAATCTTTTAAACAAAAAGAACCTGTCGTGAAAGTTATCCAACACTATGCACCACCTGCTGCACAACTGCTTCACACTCTTTTGCTCTCCAGCTGCACACTTCCACAAATGTTTTAAGGAGCTTGCTCCATTATGCAAGGTGTGCATCAGTAGCTAAATTAAACAGTTCAGATACTGTGATCAACAGCTGCAGGCTCTCATGCCTGATAAAACTGATGCCAGACAAGGAGTCTGCAAGTTTGCACTACACATTTATGTTCAGTGTAGTTCAGTTTCAGTCTATCTTACGCATATCACCACCACTGTCTACCAGTTTGTGGTCCCCTTTCCCCAGGAAGAAGGAAATAAAAAACCTTAAAGTATACCTTCAACAGTTTTTCCTTGGAAATAGGTATATGCACAGCTGCCTAGGGATATGACAGCTACTATTTGAGGATTTATATGCTGCACCTCTAACCAGCAGAAGTCTAAAACAATCTCTTGGAAACAACCAGATACCACCATCTTTGGAATTCCTGTTTACTAACACAAGCTAACTTTATTCTCTCTAGATATTGCAGAAGTTACCAAAATGTTAAAAAGTTACTTACGGTTTTCCCCCAGGAATCCCTGCTAGATTTGGAGGGATTCCAGGTACTCTCATATGAGGAGGAGGATCAAACCCAACCTGACAATGAAAAATTAATTAATCTCACACTTAAAATTACTCATTCAGCAAGATCCTTTTCTTCATCCCCAAGATATTACACATTTAACCAAAATGTGGCTTTTACTATTGGGTAAGTATTTGATAAGTCCATGTTCCTTCATAGCACGGGAAAAACAAGACATTTTCCTTAAACATGCTTCTGCAAGAAGTATTCACATGTGAATATAAACTCAATCATGTATATTATGCATTCACACCACTGAGCATAATGCAAGTACCCCTGTGTTAGCACAGAGCTAGCCCTGGAATTACGAGTCCATGGTGTGTTGGCATGCAGCCATGCCAGCGTTCTTAAGCTCTGTGACAGCTAATACGTACCCATGCAGGCACAGCACGGTGCTGGAAACCAGCTTCAGGACCCAGCCAGAATTTCTGCATGGCTCCACACTGCACTGTGTGAGCACATCAGCTGAGAAATCTCTCACGGAGCTACGCTGCAGGGTGCAGATAAATTTGTCTACACCTTAAATATATTATGCTCACTTCACATACTGCAATTCCACTAAACTTTTATATCCTGAATATGTATATCAAAAAATCAAAACAGAAATTCTGGACCAAACAGACTTAGTTTTTCTTTTAAACACTATACCCAAGTTAAAATTCTTATTGCTTTAGGGAGCATATGTGCTATTTACAATCTCCACATTTTCACATAAAAGCCCTGTTTACCAGTTTGAAAAAAGTATGTCACATCTACAGTAATGAGCAGATGACAATCTTAAATCTAATCTTGCAAATTTAGAAGTAGGTGTTTGTCTACACATAAAGCTGCCATCAAGTTCATGTCTACAGAATCAGGCCCCTGGGTATATTATTATAATCAGGCCTCAGCAGCTATAACTACTAGGCTTTACTTTCCATTTACTTACTACACCCACATCAGCAACTGTTCTTAACACACCTTATCACAGAGCTCCAAAATATGTACTGACCAACTTCTCACGTTGATTTCCACAACAAACAAAATACAAGGACAGAGACGTAAATAAAAAGACTTCTACATGCTTCAAGATCAATTTGGTACATCTGTACAAAACACAAATCTGGTTCAGCAAGAAAAGAGCAGTTGTCCACAGCACTGATGAAATATGTTGTAGCTACCACACCTGCTTTTTCATTTAAAGCGTAAAATAACTTTTTGGCATTTATTAATCAGTCAAAGCACTGATGAAGGTGAAGGAAAAAGGGAACATACATAAATACACCAAGATTCTTTGTTTTCAAGGTGCAAATTTGTTTCTCCAGCCAGGCAGCAAAGTGAAACACACAGCGAAGCTGTCAAGTCTCTGGCACCATTATAACTTGGGAATTTGATCATGCTAAATGAAGCATGTAGCTCTTCTCAGTGAACCACAACTCACATGACTGAGATTGCATGCAACGTATGGCCTACCATAGGAGATCTTCCATAGGCAACCACAGCAGCTGCAGCAGCAGCAGCACTCATCTGGGGTGACATATTGTGCAGACTGGCATAGGCTGCCCCTGGACTGGTTAACTCTCCATTCATGCCAGCATGAGGTACCATTCCAAATGGAGCAGGGTACGGTCCTGGTACTGCCAATGGTGTCCGCAAACCTGCAGCTACAGAATAATGAAATCAAGTAGTTTTACTTATATATATTCTTGCATACAGGGAATAAAACAGTCCTTTTTTTTCCCCTACAATACCTAACTTTCCCCTCTCACATACACACACTGCCAAGAAACATTGCCATATTTATCAGTACCAACATCTCTTTTCACTCAGTGTAAATAAGATCTACTGAAGTCTGAACTTGCTGATTGCTTCTAACAATCTATTCTCCTGTTTTCATTTCTGTAATATTTCCCTGTTTACATTAATCTCTCCTTTGCCAAATTAAGCAGTAAAGCTGATAGACATGGTTTACACAGTTCATGTCTGAAGCAACTCTGCTGTACCAGCCTGAATAACAAAAGTAAACTTTCCCCTGAATTTGCTAAGATTTACAGTTGCCGCAAATATTCATAGACTCAGATGACGTGGCAAAGAAGAGATTGCATTCAGAATAAGTACCAGAAACTTCTGAGAAATCTTTTTATATTGCATTCAGTCTCTGGATTATTTGCAAAAAAGATAAAGACAAAAGTAAACAAAGGAGGATAAGAGACAGAAAGATACTCAAACTCTTGATAATCCAAACATCTGCTTCTCATCAAGCCCTCTCTTGATATCAAGAACAAAGCAATACATTTCATTAACATTCTCACAGAACTAAACATGTAAAAAAAAAGATTAATTTTTGAACAATAAAAACATGTAAGGTAATGCATTACCAGCTTGGTTAACCAGAGGGTCCATTGTTGGAGGTTTGCCAAGGCCTGGACGAAGTCCTGGAGTTGCACTAGTGCCTGGGGTTGGCACATCACTTCGAGGAGTTGGTGTGCTGGATTTCAGAACAGGCGTGCTGGCTTTTTCATGCTGGTATCATTAAACAAATTAAATGAGTATTATTTTTAATCCAGGCCATATTATACAATTTATCACAACAGCAGCTGGGATGCTGGGCACCTACTACCCAGTCCCTCAGCCAGCTTTCATAAATCCATGCAATACTAACATTAACTTGTGAGAAATGCTAACCTTTTTGATTGCTGCCAAAATTAAGATAAGCAAAGAAATGTAGAAAGTTATTTTTCATTCTTCCGTTGGCAAGAAAAATAAAGTTCCTGGAGATAATTTTTTTTCAGGACAATACAATATGCATCATGAAATTATTTTAGCTTGAAATCTTTGTCTCAGTTATTACAGGACACAGCAAATCTAAGTACAACAACAAAATACCACCATAGTTGATAGTATCAAAAAATTGTGACACAAAAGCTACAGAGAATCTGATAAAATTATTAGTGATACTGCAGGAAAAGTTTTCTAAGAGTAACAGCTTATTTAGAATAGATTAACAAAAGCCTGGAAAACTTCAACTATACACAGACTGTTAAACCGTAAGTTATTCTTCAAAGAGAAAATAAACAATGCTTAAGAGACTCATACTTTATTTTGTAATACATCTGCAACTCATTTGACAGAAATATAGGAAATACAAGAAATCAAACTGAAACAGAAAATATTGCTGAGGAGGAAAGCTGAATACTACTATAAAGGTCTGGAAAAACAGTAGTCTACTTCAGTAGCTCCAAATGTTTAAAGCCATGTACTTTCTGCCACAAGTAGATGTAGGAGATGGAGAGTTAGACTTTACAAGAAAGAAGACCGTTTATCTGGACAACAGACTGCTACCCACCAGACTCATTTCTTTGGATTTGAGAGAAGTGGAACTTCCTGAAGAGGCCGTAGATGCTGGGCTGCTAGAAGCATCTTTCTTCAGCAGGCGGGTTTTATCTATACCGTTTTCACGTGGTGAATGAGTGGGACTTGCCCTTGGGGAAGAAGGATCCTAAAACAATGGGAAGGGAAGAACAGCACAGAACTGTGTCACGGGTTGGTACACAAACACGCTAATGAGTGTATGGGAAAAAAACTAGAAGGCAGTAAGTTAAAACAACAAGACATTTTGTTATCTCTATAGAAAAAAAAGCTGAAGTCCCTTTATCAATTTAGAAACACTAAATAAGTTCATATAGTAAGTAATCTGGTTTTATTTTACACTACGTGTAACCACAAACCATTTCCAAGCATAGAGCTTGCAATCTAAGTACACTGAAGTACAAACTAAGGCAAGCATGCATGACATGTGGTAAGAGCAAGAAAGACCAGCAGTAACTGCAGTAAGTTTACTGTTTTTTCCATTTACATTCTCCATGTGCTGCTAGCAACAACAAACATTTCAATAAACTCTTCTAGGCCATACAAACCTTGCTCATCATTATCTTCAGAAGAAGAGATAAAGACTCATGCTTTATATGCCATAATATGTCACTTCGTTCTAAATATCATCTGTAGATGCCTTGTTACTTAAATCTACAGGAAAATCCGAGATCACCTCTCAGGTGATTATCTTTCTCTCTTCCAGAGGCACTCTCTGCATTTACTTTAACCTACTTTAGCCAGCCCAGCAAGCTACAACCATCAGAGCTCTGCAGGTTCTCCATGCTCCTCTGGTTCATAATAGCTGCAGGGAGGAAGCAGTCCTCACAAGAGGACACTAAGTCTACTGACTAATTATTGAGCAGTGTCATTGTAAGTAGGACTTCTAAGATTTAGTAAAATCCCTAGTTGGGTACGCATTTTTCTACTTGGCTGACATCATTTGGGCACTTGGGGCTGCTGAAGACACTTCTCTGTCAGCTTCTCATCCTTGTGCTTTTCACAGAGTAGAAGAACCTTGCTACCATATTCAGCCTTCCTAAATCTCTGTTCTGTGAAATAAAAGATGAAGAAAGGGGAAATCTCTGCCCTGGAGAAAAAAAATGGCTACAACCTCTGGAAAATTTTGTGAACTGACTGACTTAATTCTGACTTCAGCTGACTTAATTCTAAAAACCAAACATTTCTGGAAAATTGCTGTCTTTAACATAGGATGTTAAAATATTAGTAATTTTTAAGGTACCAAAAATGCTTTAATAATACTCCTACTATTTAATACAAGGTTAGGTAATGTCTTCCTTTTCACTTGAAATCATTGATTTGAAAATCTCAGCACTCTACCTGCATCTCACCATAACTCTCTCCACTACAGAGCAGCTGTGAAGCATCAGAATGTAACCACAGAGGGAACAGAGCTGGACAAAGAAGCAGAAGGAAAAGCCACAACGGCAACCAAAGGAAGACACAGTAACTGCAGTACCAACAAAAAGGAGAAGTTGTGAATATTTTAACATATCCACAAAGAGGATTCTTTCTCTTCTACCATCTAAATGCACTTTTCCTTTAACCTTTGGGCAAATGTCAAGACTACAAAAATGAAAAAAGTTACCTCATTGGATACATCTACAACCAAGTTATCGTCACTCTTGTCCCCATCACTGTCCTATTAAAAATAAATAAATAAATATAGTGTTCATTTCAATTAGTACAGTAAGAGCCCAGAGAGAAAGACTACGCATCTACTCAGACATTTTTTTTTTTCCTAAACAAAAAACAAGCAGCCTTTTATTATTAGCAACAGGGAAAACAAATGAAAACAGGAACACAACACCTCATTTCTGCTTCTATAATAAAACACAATAAGGTAGAACTAGTTGAAAGGTGGCAGTCTCACCAGAGCAAGATGGTCCAAACCCCCTTCTTATTACCATTATAAACAGTGTTATCACCACTCCTAAAAGAGAAACTCACTCTGTTCATATGCTAATCTTTCATGTTAATCTTATGGAAATTACTGCTTGTGCATACCTAAAAACCCCAACACATCTCAGAAAAATGCCATAAAGCTCCAGTTGTTTGATTAATCGACTTCCTCAAAGTGATAGGACAATTTTCCTTCTTTACCAGAAATGAAAGCTTTGAGATGGAAAGTTCTGGGGAAGAAAAAGCTTCAGAAATGCCAAGGCATTTCAACATTTCTGCCTAACAAAACCAAAATACTTTGACATTCCTAAATGGAAATGTTTTATTGTGGCTTGTCAAGCTGCATTTTGACTGTTTCACATAAATCTGTGTTCACCTGCGCTGCTTTAGTGCCTCACAATAGTTACTCAAGTGCCTCCTGGCCCCTATCTCCAAAATGGGCTGGGGTGCCACAGAAGACACATTCTATGATACACAGTGGTCTAGTGATTTCTGCAGTGCACCATCACGGTTCAATCCAGAAAGTAAGACTTGACTCAAAACCAAAAATAAACAAACAAACACGTGAATGACAAAACTTAAAATTTTCACGACAGTAATTTTTCCAGTAATAATACTTTCAGTTAAAAAGTTCCTAGGCAAACAAATCAGACATACAAGATTGCTCAATCTGCCCCATCTCTTGCTTTCAAAGAGTCTGGGCTACCACACTTAACACTGTTTATTTCCTCTCACTTCAGGCCATAAATGTTTTAAAATAAACCCCAAAACAAACCCCAAACCCCAACAGGTAGTTTCAACCCTTCCCTTCTGCTTTAGCAGCTGAATATTGCTCCAAGAAACACCACAAACATATTAGGGACCCAGGAGTGCCACTGAAGACAGAAACAGCAGTTCTATTTGCCACTTGGGAACCTGTCCAACCAAACTATGCAAAAGGAGAAGGAACAGGAAAGCTTCAGCACCAGTTAACTGCCACCTCTTGAAAAGTATGAAGCACCCAGAAGACAAGAATAGGTTAGAAAACAGTTGAGCATGTGGGAGCACAGCAGGTGGGACGTTTGTTCGCCACAAACACCGCCCCTGAGGAGGGCAAAAATAGCTGCCAAGCAATGATTAAGTGCACTCCATTGACTTTGACATCCTGAGAAATAGAAATTTACTGGGACTATCAAAGGCATCTCCTATAGGTACTATTAACATCAGAAGACTCTTCTTACTAACAAATCTACAGGCTGAAACTATACAGGTCCCAACACGAAAATTAGTCAGAAGTCAAAAAAGAGAAGAAAAAAAAGTTTTGCATCTTATTTCCAAAAGTAACAATTCCTACAGCTCATTTATCTCCTTTCTGACAAAAGCAGTACTTCCTTGTCCCTACAAGGGCCTCATCTAAAATAACCTTGAAATCAGCAGCTCTGTGTTTGCAGAATCACAGAACCTTTAAAAATAAAGATCTTCTTCCAGATTAGAATAAATATGGAACTTTCAAATATCCTTGCTTTGTTCAATTCTGTATTTTGATGCTGCCTTTATCTGTAAAATCCATTTAAAGCAAACAGCAAACAGAACCACACTTTTAAAATGTGGATTAAAACAAATTGCTTCTACAGTCAATAATATCCTTTTCTATTACCATCCAGTAGAAATACAAGAAAAACAAGTTAAGCTTTTTCTTCCTTTTTTTTTTTTTAATATCAAATGTAGGCTATGAATGCTTAATCTTCAAATATTTAAAATGAAAAATTCCCATAGAATATCAAACCCTCAAAGTTAAGAGAGTAACATGGTGAAGTTTGCCAAACTCGTCTGTAATCAAACCAAGATTATTAGAAAGTGGTGGAAATACAATTTGTAAAACTGTAACCACAATGTGCAGAAAGGGGAAAGTAACCCCATTTACTGTCAGTAGCTGCAGTTATCCAATAGCTGCTCAGATATTCTGGGTCCAACTGGAGAGAAACTACCCTACCAAATATTGAGGAAATTAAGCGGCATCTGATTTTCTCTTGGGTTTCAGTAACCAGGAAGTAATTCGTGACTTGATTCATGTAAACCTGATGATTTGCCACAATACTGTTATGTCAAAGAATACCATCTTCTGTCATATTTATATTCTGCTTTCCAGTATTCTTTTACACCAGTCCTAGTCTCTAAAGCCTGTTCAAGTATCATCCTGTGATTTAGATGAGCATTTATTTAGACTTGAAGTTGAAAGCCTGTGTGAACCTTCTCAGGTTCACATATGCCACACTGTCGTACTGAAGCGTCACTTCAAAACCAAGCAACAAGCAAGATAGTCGAATATGCAGAACAAAGTGTGAACATTTTTATTTCCATTTGCTTCCTGCTGAATGCTGTATCAACCAAAAGCAAACTTTAGTAAGTTTGTAGAGCCTCATAACACATGCAATTTGCAATGGCAATTATTACTCAATGTGATAAGTTTGTACCAGAAAAAGGTACTAAACGCCCCAAATCAACAAAATCCTCTATTTCAAACAAACCTTCAGACTTTAGAGAAGTCCAGAAAGGATCTCTTGCTTAAACTGAGAAATGTCCCAGAACACTTGTGAATCCCAGATGGCTACTCCTGCCTCATTATTCCCTGTTGAGGGGTATTGCTTGACAATAGCTCAAACCACTGAGTCACTGCTCTTCCCACAACATGAATAATGGTCTCTCTGGCACATATATTCATCAGCCATAGGAAACACATTGCCTTGTTCTTCACAGCTCTTTTACTCCTCATACAAGCACAGCATGTGCAAGTAAATTAATCATTTCTTTGACATGGATTTGCTTACATAATGGCTGGAATCTTTATCATCCACCTTTCTCTTTTTGATGTCATTGGTATATTCAGGGCCATTCCTGCGTTTATCTGTGCTTCTCAGACTGTCCGGGACCAACAGAGAATTACTCTGCAAAGACAAAAAACAAGGTCAATCAAAAATTCCTTTCAATATCTCATATGTTTAAAAACTCAAATTTGATGTAATAGATGCTTTAGAAATGTAATACCTACATAGTCTTTCATTCCATTTAATTCAACTCAAAGTCCTCCAGGCAAACATGTACAGCTTCATGCATTCTAAACTTGGCTTTTCATTGTTCAACTTATCAAAAGTTTAGTTAACTTGTCAGTCACCCTCTATTTAACTAATTAATTCAATTGAATTTATTGTTTAGGAGAAGAAGGCTTGGTGTTTATTCATGTGCAGGTAACAATGATTTTTTTTTTTTTCATATACAGATTCCGTATCTGTAGAAGACACTTACTAAATATCATCAGATTGCTCACTTCTAGATCATCATAAATAAAGGAGGCTTTGGAATGTCTACACCTGCAGGCACGGATAGATATATGGCAACTTGCCTTTAACTCTTAAAATAACAAGTATTTACCAAACAAGTTATGCAGTAATCATTTGTTAGCTGTGGCAAACTCCAGTTGGATACCTTCAACAAAGGTATTGCAAACAAAGATCAAATATTTTTATTTCCAGCATAACATTCACTACTAGCGTGAAATTAAGGCTAAAGCGCTGTTTAATCAGGCTTGATCTGAAAAACTGAGGCCAACACACACACACAAAAGACAAAAGCAAAGACTAATCTTTTCCTCAAACTACATGGAATGCTTTCATTCATGCTAAGTTATGCTAAGTACAAACTGTTGACCCAAAGAGAAAGGCATTTTAGACATTTTTCAGTCACATGACAATTTGACATGCCTGCGATTCCCGTCTCCATCTCCGTTCCAGCTAAAGCATTAAAACGTGTTACAATGAGTTCTTTTAAGTGCAAGATTAGCATATGCAAGAGGGCAATTTGTTCAGTGATGTGTTAATGCTGTGAACAATACTGAATGAGTTGAGAAAAAAAAATCTCCTTTCACAAAGACCTGGTAAGCCTAGTTCCCAAAAGCCAAGTACATGCTTACATAAATATACGCTCACATAAATATGTAAGTAAATACATATTTACACGCATACACATATCTCAGAAGAGAAAAGCCTAATACATACATATATACTAAGATATAAGTGTAAACCCTCAAAGGAAATACAGATATCTACCCAAAAGCCAGAGATATTTACTCTTAGTATTATCATAAACATATACTAACAACCAGTGAACTGTACACCGACTTCCCCTTTAGAACCTGAGGACACCATGGCAGTTTTACTCAGACATTAATGTTTAGTCCCAAGGAGAAGGAAAACAAAACAAGGTACATAAGGCAATCTGAATCCTCTTTTTCCTTCTTCACAAGCTGCACTCTAAAGCCAACTCTAAGCTCTTTTATCCATGACTATTCAAGCTAAACAAATGCCAAGGGGCTTACATAAAGCATATAGGAGGTTCTAATGAAATTCAGTATAAAGAAGCTTAAAATAATGTCTTTACCAAAATGTTTTGCAGCTAAAAGGTGGGTTTGTTGGATCACTGAACTAATTGCCTTGACAAATACAGTCTGAATTTAACCCCTCATCTCCTCCCCGATGTATGTAAATTCAGGGATTCACTAGTTTGAAAAACATTAAAACCAATCTTCAACATTTTAATATTGAATCAATCATGTCCATAGCAGTAGCAACATCTTAAGCAGCAATCTGTCAATTCAAACTTGTCCACAGATTTAAGTATTGCATATGCTTAAGGAGGAAAGTCTTTTACTTAAGAGCTAACTTCCCTTAACAAAAATAATTTAAAAATAGATATTCTACTATTGAAGAGCTTAGAATAAAACAATGAAGGCAAGAGTAGCAAAGTGAATAAACTCAGTTTCTCATTTTAAATTGGCAAAATTAAGGGGCAGCAGCTGGGAAAAATTTAGTAACCCTGCAATCTGAAGTTACTACACAGAAGTGTAAGAAACATCTTGCAAATTTTGGCATCAAATATGTGCAACTACAATGGCAGATGTTTTTTTCTGGTTTAATTTAAAGTCTACCTAGACAATGCTGGCAATATTCTGTACAGTTTGTCCTGTAGAATTTCAATACTGTGAAACATACCTAGGAACTCCTACATATACTAGATCTCATTGTGTCCTAAACGACAAATGAATATTATTAGGTTTGATTTTTCCTCAAAAGATCCATGTCTTTCTTACCACAAACATAACTGCAATAATCTACAGTTCTCAAAAGCCTATTCTGCAAAACATCTCCCATATATTCATATTTATACAGCCTTTCTCTAGCTTACCACATTCATAAAGCACTGCTCTTTGGAATCAGAGCATTCACGCTAGAAACTGTTGTTATAACAGCATATTTCAGAGTAGCTATACTGGCAGTTGCAAATAACATTGTGCTGTTACTCTGGTAAAATTTGCCAGTAGAATCAATAATTAGAAAGTTACGGTTTTGCTTCCCTTAGGAGTACACTGAAGTTCTAATACAGGAGTACACTGAAGTTCTAATTGTGACTAAAATCAGGTAAATTATAACTTTTGATGAAAAAATAGCTTGCTGGTATAACCTACTACCATAATTCAAACCAATTCTGTAAGATTTCATTCCACAATATGAAAGCATGCATCAATTTTAATAGAGCATATTGTAGATCCAGAACACTAAAAGTAGAGCAAAGGAAATAAATGAAAATACAAACAAGAACTGGGAAAGAGATGATTAGATAACCCTTGAGCTATTGACATCTCTTGCCAATGTAAAGGTTCAGGAGAGTAAAAAAAGCCTACTAAAAGCCCCCTTTCCTCATTTCAGCTCTGGTAGAGTTTATATTTGCTATAAATTCACTACCAAGCATACGGCCAGCTAGAAGACAGCAGCAACTGCTTCACAATGATAAGAGTTCTCCTTCTCTTTAAAAAAAAAAAAAAAAAAGTTTAGATCTTCTACCAGGCCTACTAATATCTGACTTATTTTCATAGGTAGGACAGGCATTTTTATTTTAGCTATGCTTATATAGTTTTTAATAATGCTACAGAAATTGATCTTCAACAATAATCCATTTGTACAAAAAATGGCAAAAAGATATATACATGCATTGTTCATTTCCTAAAGAGAAACTCCCTGACACTAGTTTTCAATTTGTCTTAATTTCAACAGACTAGATGCATAATCGAGGATAATCCTTGCTTTCATACTAGTTCAATTTATTAGGGATTACCAATGCAACATCTGTAAATCATGAATCAGAACAAATGGTCAAAATCAATCTTATGTAAATGTTTTATTTTCCTTCTGATAATTCAAAATTTATTCACATGAATCCCTTTTTTTTAAAATAAATCCCAGAAGAATTTAAAAAGCCTAACATTACACCATCTTCTGTCAGAGTTATCAGACTGCATAAGGGCTGTATAACAGGCAATGGGGGATCCTAAAGCAACATTGCTGCCAGCAAAAGTTAAACACTGAAACCACCAGCAGCAAATGTGAAATGAAAACCTAGTCACAATGCACAGAGAAAAGGCAGGTTCCCTCTTAGGAATATAACGCACATTATTCAAATGCACTTTTTCGACTGCTGTGCTGTTTCCCCATAGGAACTACTTCCAAACCACAAGCATGTGTGCCAGAGGTACAGGCTGAGAGCCCACAGTATCTCATTTAGCCCCAGCACGGACAACTCACTAGAACATACAAAATTGACAATTAACTTTATGCTGATCATTGCAGCAATTAAATAACAGAATTTACATCACATCTGTGCTCATGGTTCAACTACACCTGGTCCCAATTAAGATCTTCTCTAGTGCTGGGCTCCTCATTCCCCCCACACCCCTTTCCCCAAAGACACACACACACACACTTACTCTGTGCTTGGCCATTCACTGAGTTGCTGTACATCCAAACCAACTGCATCATCTGCCATTACAGCCAGTTAAAACAGCTGACAACTTGTGCTTGTCCCTATCACCAGCCAGGACTGCTCTGTTTATTTAACCACTGCACTAGACTTGTGCTGCTGCACCACACACAGATGCTATCTACAGATACCCATATGCAGACAGGAACAAATGCAATCCCTTGTTGAGTGGGAAAATAGGATCAAGTCTTAACTCCTACAACCAAAACATCAGTTGCTCAGCAGTCCCACTGTGCATTGTCAGGACTCACTGACAGGAATATAGTGGATGATGAAAGAGAGAGACTAGCCCTTAACCATCTCTCAGAAAGACACAAGGAGATTGCATACAAAGTTACTCAAGAACATTAACTTCCACTCGTTGAATAAGTTTCTCGCAAAACACACACATCAACAATCCAAAAGTTGACTTATAAAGTGAGTAGGTTTTGGTTTAAATTACTGGTGATGGAAAGCTGCTGACTTCAACCTCTTTTCACTCACGATTTTAAACTAGTATGTTCACATGAGGAACAAGCGAATCTAGAAGCCCAAATGGATTTGAATCACTCCACGTTGATTCAACTGTGAGAAACTAAGGCTTCTGTTGATTTCAGTATTTTCTAGCTAATTGTCAGAATCAGCGTATCCATAAAAATTTAGACCAGACCACACCAATCCTCTTGTCCTTCGTCATCAGCCTCATGTTGCTTTGCATCAGCTACAAACTAAACTTCAACACAGCTCTTCCATGTGAGCAACCCCTGCCGAGGCTAATTCGTGGTTTGCATCCAAAAAGACTCTAAGATTTGACTTACTATTAAGTTGACAAGAGATAATAAAAGATAACTAATTAAAGAAATTCAAGTTTTTCAATTACAAGCTATATGATGGAAAATAATACTTTCTTCACAAAGGCCAAGAAGCACACCTGTGCTACACTAAATAATGCTCTACATTTTCATATAACTTTTTGATTTCTCACTCCATTTAAAAGAATTAAAACACACAAAAAAAAACCCGCAGCTTGCATATAATATTAACCAAAAAGTAGCACTGAAATGCACATGCCCTCTTCCTCCAAGACTGGGAGGGGAAGAATAGGACAGTGAGCTAAAAACACAGAATATTTTTCTGCTGTAACAAAAGAGCATTTGCTTTACAAAACAATAGCTACATTAATGCTTAACAATGAAGACAAAAAAAACCCAACCTTGAAAATTTACAAGTACTTCCTATGTCTTATAAAACAAGCTCAATGTTTTAAAGAAGGACAAAAGATAAAACACCAAGCTTAGTGTAAATCCCATAATGAACATATTACTGTCTACAAACTATTACTGATACAGTAGTCAGTAGCTTCAGAACATTTGCATTTCTGTACTGACCAAGCAGGATACTAGAACAGTGGGAAAGCAAGTGATAAATTAACACCTAAAATGAGTTTGAAAAATGTGGCCGGGATGTTCCCTAGAGAAAAAGATGTAGACATCAAAGTTCTTTTGTATTGATGTCTCCCAAAACATGCCTGAGTTGCAAAACTTGTTCTTTGGCTTCATTACCTGCAGCTAGGCTGTCACAATAGTAAGGATGCCTGCATTCCCACAATAACACGACCCACTTTTGAATGGTTAGAGCTACATCAGCCAAAACCCAGCTGCAGTTAACCATGTAGTCCTATAATTTATTTTTGCCAAATAATTTTAGTAGTTCATGTATGAAGTATACTAATATTACAAACTTAAATGTTATATATTTCACAAACCTGCATTTACCTTTAAGTAAGATGAAATGACCTTTCATTTTACTTGCTGAAACTTTTAGTATAAAAAACTGTAGCCCTTGCCATTTAAATATAGAAAAAGTAGGTAAAATTGACATTGATTACAATCAAGAATAATTAAATCACTACATCTTTATAATCTTCTTTATAAATACATGAATCACAGTGCATTATGAAATATATCTAAACATACAATACGTAAAAGCTTGTGACTGCTTATTTTCCCAAGGAGACTTTAAAAAAATAAAACCACATCTCATTTACAAATTAATATGCTCAAATAATATGCCACAATATGCTTTAACTCAGTTATGTCAAAAAACCTCAGCATAAAGCCAAATAGGCAAGCGCTAAATTTTAGTATTTCAAACTTGCAGATGTAGAACTGCCAAGTTCTACTGATGATACTGGAAGGTCACAACAGACATATTTGGTAGAAATCATACTGTAGAAATGTATCATGGTCAATTTAGGTCACTAAGAGACAGCATGGGTTTTGGTGTTTTGGATGATGAAAGCAAGCCTTTGTCAGGATGCACTTAAAATGTTAGTCTGAAAATCAAACTGATCTTATCTTGGTGACCCAGATATTATAAAGTAATTTGCAAAATAAAAGCCTACTGCTCAGTTGGAACCACATGTAATAATTAAAAGACCTGCTGGTATGTCTTGTGTGCTTGTAACCAATTTTATATTATCCTTAAAAATATAGTTTAAATTAAAAAGAAACCCACTAAAACCACAAGAGAATTAAAAGAGTTCAAAGAGAAAGTAATTCCCAGATGATCATTTTAACAATAGATCTGAAATGGACTTTCAAATGAATTATGATTCTTTCATTGAAGATACCATTTACTGTTACGCCAAGGTTCTAATGCACCAGTGTATATAAGCAGTTTTAAATTCAAGTTCACCTGCATTCAGCTACCAAAGTTAATTTTAATTATGAAGTACTATTCTCTACTGGGACCAGAAAGAAACTATGGCTACCATAATGTAGTAAACTGAACGCAATATATCCATATAGCAAAGTTCTAGGAAATACAGCCTCAAGATTGTTTAAAGGTTAGTGGTAAACCCAGCATAAAAAAAAGACTACTTATAGATAATACCCAAGCAATCATGAGTCACACATATGCAGACAGAAGTAACTTCAGCAACAATTTTGTGTATTTTAATTAAATAAAATTGACACATATCGTCAACTAAGCAAGTAATACTGCAAATCTCCCACAACACAAAGGGCTCATTTTATTTTTGACAGCTGTCCTTCCATAGGCAAGAACTAATCACAGATACAGGATGAATTCAGAGTTGAAATTCATGACACTGTGAAGCATCTGATTTTAAACTCAAAAACCCTTTAGCAAAGTACATGATGGACAGGGCAGGAGAGGAGGAGAAGAGAGCAAAGACAAGGAACCAAAACACTGACCAACACAAAACTCAAAGCCATCAGTGCACCAATGTGTGCACGGGGAAACAGACACACACTGCAAACCTCCTTCCTTAACTCTTAACAAAAGTTGTTGAGAATCCTGCACGTGACTAACATCACTCAAATAAATATATCCTTAGTAAGTCTGAGGCTTCAGGAACCACCACCCCACCACCCCCCAAAAAAAATTATTTCCACAGTTATTCTGCCATTAATAATGTTAAGAAAGCTAAAATGAATGCTTCTTGCTTCTGACCAAAAAACCAAAAACCAAAAAAGACTGCCACAAAATATACGCAGTTTCCAGTAAAAAATTGTGAAGCCCTAGTATAAAAACACCCAATAAAATTCAGAAATACCCTAAAGCTAACTGTCAAATAACTTTTCCTAATTCTTTTCTAATTGAGAAAAAGAAACAAAATAGAGCCCAAATTCACTTTATGACATCAACAAGCAGAATTTGCTTTCTTACTTGAAATTACCTCAAAGTAGCACATCTCCAACAAATTGATAGAGCAATATCACTCAAAACACCACAGTATAAAAAACTGTAACAAAACAGTTCTTTGGCTGGTTTTCAGATAAGATTGTCTTAGACCAATTCTATTACAGCTTATGTCTAGAGGGATAAAATGTATTGATATGGAAGTTATACCTGAAGCACAAATTAAGCAGTAGACATTAGTATGGCTTAAACAGATTCAGTTAAAGAAACTCGTAGGGCCTAACACCATCATGACACATGCATGTTAAATTTCTCACCTGTTCTGCAACTAATTCCTGAAAATCCTACCGGAAGAATTTTAAATGCTGGCTTATAATGTTATACTTCTAAGTTGCAGTCAACGTTTGAATTGCAGCATCCCTCCCACCCCCAATAAGCAAACTAGAGTTAAAGCTTCCTCAAAATCATTCTGCTCAGAAATAAACCTGATTTATACAGTTCTCCAAACAGGTAACTTAGTGTTCTGCATAAACCAAGAGGTATCTTAACAGACAACACATGCACCTAATATCATGAAATTAACTACAAAGAAGATGAAACAGTGCAATGTCTGATTATTACATTATGTAGAAGTGGAAATATTAGCAGGAAGTTTGGTACTTACTGTGCCTGGCTCTCTGTCTGCTCCCGCAGTAACCAAGAAATGCACAGACATGCCCGTTCAGACACAGAGACAAGAACAGAAATAAAAAAGGGGGGAAAAAAATTAGAACACAAACCACGAACAGTTTTAAAATGGCTTTTATTTATATAAGTCATTGCACATTCCTAATACAGTGATTTCCTGAAAATTACAGTATTTTGTAGACACGATTTACAGTTTAACCATACACAAAGCCTAGTTTTATTTCATGACAGAATAAATTATTTTCTTTTCAAAAATTAGTCAAGTGCAATTTTGCCCAGCATTTAATTGAGTACTAGAATTTAAGCCTATGAAACTAAAGTAACAGATGAAATTATCTAAATCTTTTGTTTCAATACATTCACTTCAAACTTTAACTTCTTGTTCCCCCTACCTTCCCACCCACCCATTTAACAACATCACTTTCTTTGAAAAAGTTACCCATTATGCACTTTAACAGTTTTCCACAATATGGTGCAGGCCACTGGTGTTACAACTAAGCATTTACCAGATGTCAAAATGCCCTGCAAACTGCAGAGCAGGTGACACCTAGCGATCCCCTTTTAAAATACTGAAAAATTCCAAGTTGAATTTTGCTTCAGTGGTATATATGCAGACATTTTTAAGTTTGTCAACAGTTTTTTTCTTTCTATATAACTTTAATTCTTTAGAGATGCACGTAATTTGCAGCAATGGGCAAATTTGACAATGTCCTAATCAGGCCTGCCATGCCTCTCACCTCTGTGGTGTTCTGCATCGTGGTGCTTCTTGTCATCTTTTATTGCCAAGTGAGACTGCCCACCCAAAGCACTAGAAAGGGCAAGAAGGCCAGCACTGCTTCCGAGTGGAGGGATTCCTGGAGGCTGAAGTCCTGATGGATGTGGTGTTAGAGGCACTGGAGGTCCATGGCCATGGGAGAGATGTTGAGCCTGCAACTGCTGCTGCTGTTCCCAGTGGTATCATCATCCCCAGAAGAACAACGCATAGCACAGTTTGGGAAGGAGAAGAAAGAGGTTTAGTTAATTGCTGAGAATCAACAGTGATTTTTTTCATTTATTTGTTTCAAATCTAGCCTCTCCTCTTTGTCCCACTACACTAGACATACTGCATTATATCATGCTGTCTGTGGACAGCTTTGCTCATGTCCCATCAACCAGAAAAGGCTAGCTGCATACTTTTCTGCAGCCTGAGGAATAGGTTCAATAGCTGTAGGTTGGTTTGGGCAGCACTGCATTGCCTCAGCACCACCAGTGACAAAAAAAACAACAGCAGCAGGAGGCCTGAATATCTTTCCCTTTCTATAGGAATGAGTATCACTGCTCTTGGAAAAAAAAACAAGTTTCACTGGCAAGACTGATTTAAACGCACACACCTCTCCTTCCCCAATTGGAAACAGTAAGTAGGTTTCTATTTTGAATACTAAAAACCCTAGAAGACCCTGCTTAATTTGATACTTAGTGTAGTTAAATTTATATTTTATTCTAGCCAAAGTTTTGGGGAAAAAAATTATTCACGGACTAGCACTGTGTTTAGGAACCTACTTTGAACTTAAAATTCAGGTATTCCAGATAGCATCAATAGGGTCATGGAATTCCCAACCACAAAAAAATGGTGTTCATGAATTAAAATACTTCCATCTGTTTCAAAAGCAGCTTGCAAGATCAGTATCATAATAAGTGGACATACAACCCTGTAACTAGTCTGCTAAAATACCCTGTAAGCAAGTTTAGAAACAAAGTCCTTATAATGGAATTACTTCCCCATAGTTTAAATAGTTAAAGTTCTTAGGGGTTTATAAATATTTTCCAAGTTCAGCTAACCATTTAATTTATTGAAAACACTCAGGAGAGATTTATTTAGAAAATTTAGCTTCAAAACCATCTTTAGTTTAGTCATAGCTCTCCTTTAGTCTGCTACAGATAAACAGATCTTCTGCCTCTTTCCTGCTTCCTTAAGCCCGGGCATATGAAAAGAAGACAGAACAAACCTCTCCACCTTGGCCATGCTCCACCATCACTCTGCTGAAGGTAGATACCACGAGAAAAGCTAGAGTACCACCCAATTCATGGGATCAAAGAGAAAACAGATAAGAAAATGTCTGAACAGGATGAGTTCAGCTAGACATGAGCGTTTGACCTGGTGAATGTTAGTGGTCCTGTTAAGAACAGGCAAAATTGTTATAGTACTGCTGACAGCTGCTGACATCGTACCTAGACTAAAGCTCACAGGATTTCACAAGTTACTCGAAAATAAAATAATAAAAAAATATTTTATCTGCTTCCATAGATCCCAAGACTTCACAACAAACTGTCAATAGTACATGCATATTATCTACTAGCATATGAATGACTTGATTTATTACTATTTTGGTAACTATTACAACCCTACACTTTTCTTTTGCATAACCCCATCCCAAGACATGCCTTGAGCTGTTTATAAATTTATGTAGACACAAGTACCTGACAGAATAATTCTGGACTGGGCCTGCTAATCTCACTTTTCTGCTGTCCCAACTGTAACATATCCATCATTTACTTATTTTTCCATATGTAAGACAAATGTTAAAATTTACCACAATTGCTTTAGTCAATTCTATAAAGCCACAAGTTTACCAAATGTTTCTTATACCATGTATCACGAATTTCTTTTCATGTGCTGCATAAAGAGTCTTGCTAGTCTTCACTGTAATATGTACATCTGATCACTATCCTTGTCAATTTTTCAATATATTTAAAAAGCAAGCTAAGAGTTCTTATTCTTCTATTTTAATGTGTTTACAACAACCCAAAAGGTAACATTTGGAAAGAAGTATTAAGAATTATTTTTGTTTGAAGTAGTTAAAGAAGTAGACCACCTTCTATAAAATTAAGCAGCTATTGCTAGTGAAACTTCATTTAACTGAAGAAACATCAGTAAAAAGCACTGTGAAGTCTGACAGAACTGCAACATTTTGGAGGTTTTTGGTTTGTTTTTTTGATCCAGCCTCTAAAGAACAAGAGGACATCTCCTCAGATTTTATCAATATTTTAGTAGTTTCCACCATGTTTCTTCATCAGGAGATAACCTGATGTTTTGGCAAGCTCTCTCAGAGAGTCAGTACCTTTAGTCATTCCATTCTTTGATGACCACTTAAACCAATCAGTCATCTGCACTCTAGCCATAAGACAACATGCATCAGCAGTACTGTACCACATTCATGGAATTGGTTTTACTTGTCCCCAGCTGCACTATCACACTGGATTATCTACCTAGCTGTGTGCAATTGGCTAAGAACAAAAAGCGATTTATCCCTTCAGAATTTGTGGAGAAAACCTCCCTTCTCCAACAGTGAGCTCAAATTAACTTCTCTTGCAGTGTGGGCATGGGAAGGACAAAACAGAGAAATTAAGCTAAATTTCTTCCATTCTTGTCTCCCTATCCCTTCAGAAAGCATGTGAAGATTCCCTTTATTCATGCCTCTCTTGCCTGGTTTAATTAGCAAACAAGTTAACCCACATGATTTCAGGAAGCATAGCTTAACATCTTTAGAAATCACACTGTTAGGGGACACGTTACCTACAATTTCCTTGGCTCTGCTTTGTAGTCTACACACCAGGTATTTCAAAAGTCTCAGAAATGACGAACAGATTAATCCCCTCTAACAGGTTCTGAAGCTGAAAGCATATGACAAGAAGGGTTATGTCCTGCTTCTTTGATGGGACTGCATATAAATGGTGGGAAGCAATGCCCACTCTAAGGGGTGGAACAGAATGTAAGAGCTGTAAATGGAAATGCACCACTCTGCAGAACATCTTAGCAGCTTTGCAAAATGGTTAGAGCATCAGAGGAAAGTGATACCCCAAGATGCTTAAATATCCAACTAAATTAAACAGACTTAAGACTAAAAACGTAATCCAGTTTTTTAAGCCAACAAAAGTATATTGTGATTTAATGTTTATTGTCTGAGGCTCAATGCTGTTTAAGACTGAAGTGTATTGATTCCTTATTTATATATTACCTATTCATAATAGGCTTAAAGTTCTCCCTAAGATATAGATAAAGATAATCCTTTTGAGACATTCATGCTCTTTTTATTTTAAAAAAAATTGAACTGTTAGAAGTATATTGTATTCTCTTTCTAGAAGGGGAAAAGGGAATATGTGCTGCACACAAAGGAAGAAACTAAAGACTAGGGAGATGGATAGCAGACGCACTCATCAGATGTATTTAGTAACCAGACATTTGCCATAGTAGATCCTAGAAACAATTATGCATGTAATCACTTTCCCATCACTTCAAAGACACTAATGCCTGCTCTGTCACCTTTTAAGAGCTTAGCAGCAGCGTGATATAAAACGGAGTAAGTTGGCAGCAGTATCAGTGTCTACTAGGCATGTTCATTAACAGTTAATTAAAAACTAGACACCTGCCATAAGAAACGTGCTCAAAAATCTATGAGTAACAGGTTTGTCTTACTACCAATTATTATTACTTGCAGAGCAAGGGCTGTGTCCACTTTCAGAGGGAAGTGGGAAGGTAGAGTGCAATGATGCATACATAAGTGAAGTGACTGCAGTGAGATAATTAGCCATAGCAGTGACTAAAAGCATTGGTAGTTCACTCACCATTTTCTTATAAAAACTAAGTTCTTCATATTTACAAAGAGAGAAAATGAATGGCAAATTCAGCTTACTGTACTGTCTAGATGTAGCTTTTACTGCCTCATTTTTTTTTCCCAGTATTGCCCTAACAAGACCAGAAACACCCCAAAATCAACATACAAAAAACCAGCATCTGCCTCTCTAAGCACGTGTACCTCCTAATCATTTTAAAGGCAGTTCAGTTTTTCACCTCCAACACCTCAGGCATGTTCCAAGCTATAAAGAGATCTTTAACTAGGACTTAAATTTTGGAATTAATTTTTTCAATCCCTCACAAAGATTTCCAGAGTTAGTAAGTGTTTGTGAAACTAATTTCCTATACATAAACAATGACAAGTCTCCTTTAGGCTTCCTGCTTATCAAGATAGAGCATGAGCTCCTAGATGACTTTCCATCTTAAAGTAGTTCTGCTGAGGTCTCCTTAAAAATCTAGTTTTTAGTTCCTGGCATTAAATAGTTAGAGCATTCTTCTGTTCTTAAACAGATGTGTGATGTACTATTCAGTATCTGTTGAAAAGCACTAAATTTAAAATTCGGATGTGATTGTACGTCAACAGTGGGAAAACAGTAATACCTGGTCACAAACTACAATACCTGTCTTCTCCTGTGCCCTTCTAAATAAACACCTGAGAGTAGAAAAAGTTTTCCAAAACCGTATCAGCACTAGTAATACTATCAACAGATTCTGTCAAGCTCTGTAGAGGTGTTCTGAAAAAATATCTGGCAAGCACAAATGTCATTTAGAGACCTGAAATGTAAAGGGCACCACTTCATGTCAACTTCTGTAAAACTAAAGAAATGTGATTTTGTTAAACTCAAGCAGGCAGAAAGACATGAATGAGAGAAAAATGTGTATTACTGGATTCAATTTCATTGCCATAGTCTCTCCCTTCCCAAAGGGAAATCTGCAGGTTTTTTATTTGCTTGCTTCAGTAGCAGAAGGAAGTGAGAGCCCATATCAAATGTCAACAACCAATGAACACAAGGGCAACTATCTGAGCATATACAGCTAGTTGGCCAAGTAATTACCTGCTCCCTCACTGTTTAGAAATAACTCTTAAAATCCACATTGCACATGTAACCATCCAAAAAAAAGAAACAACTCAAGATTATGCTCCCATAAATCCAACCTTTTCCCCCATTCTAAAAAAACCCAAAACTCTACACACACCACCCACACTATCAACAGTCAAATCTAGCACGAGTAAATTCATTGGACAGTCTAAACCATAAATTAGTACTTGCTTTTAAGTCTCTGTAAATACTTTCAAAAGAGTATTTTAACTACAGGCAAAGACAAGTTG